ATCCGATACAGAAAGGAGGATAGAAAATAAAGACCCCACACACACAAAAGGACTTTATGTTCATGTCAACACAGCAGCAGTAAAATAAAAAGAAATTTACACCAGAATTGTGAGGGAGGAGGTCTGTTTCCTGGATAAAACCAAAGATAATAGAGTACCTTAACTGGCATTGTTCAAATTCTCTTAAGATTTGGGTCAGATAGGAGAAATAAATTCAAGGGATCTGTATTACAACAGTTACTGTAACTAATGATTTGTTGTATTCTTGAAAATTGTTGGGAAAATAGATTTCAAGTGTTCTCACTGTGAAAACATTAATGATATCTGAAGTCATGCCATCCCATAAAGCATCCATATGTCAAAACAATTTCCTATAACAATTAATACGTGCAATTTTCACTTGCCAATTAATAATAAATGCATAGAACTTAAGATTTGTTTGCCACCTAGAAGGGTACATTTCCATCTTCATTTCCAGTGGAATTCTACAAGGGTAAAGCATCTATTTCCACTGCTGTCACCAGACCCCAGAAATTTTCAGGTAGAAGTAATGTCTTCTCTTCATGCTAGATGTATCACCTAGCATTATAGATGGGAGACACCCAGCATTCTGAGTCTCCCAGCCTTGAAGATCATTACTACTGCTGGACAAAAAGCTGGTTTTGAAAGACAGCTCTTATAGCATCTTGCTTGTGTGTCTAGGGACCAGAGAATGTCTTTCAAGATCTGAGAGTACTGATTTAAGAAGAAGTTAGTCATGCTTGCTCAAGTATCAAATCTGAGGCATACAGATTAATAGGTGATGTTGCAATCACACTAACAAATTGTAAAGCCACAAATTTAAAATGGCCCCGCTATAGTGATGTGTTTGCTAGGCTTGGGGAAGATCGAACTGTGATTATAGAATGACCCTAATGCCATGAGGCTGTTGGAGACTAGTATAGAGAGAAAAGAGTGTCAGAGCTCTATAAAATCGACAGAAAAGAGAACAAGGAGCAGAAGGAAGGGATAATACAGAGTTGAGATTTCAGAGATGTGAGCACAGGTAGTAAGTAGATTATCAGGCAGGCAGCCATTAGCACATCAAACACATTTGGTACAAAGTGACCAAGCCCCTGGGATGGAAGGAGCTGGGGATGAGAATCCCCAGACTGTGAGTACATAATGGTCAGACACAATCAATCCCTAGCCAGAGAAGAAACTGCTTTTAATGCCATGCTCTTAATATCCAGGTGTTTGTTTAACTCTCCCACTAAGCCTGAGAGCTATGTATCAATATTAGCCCCATTTTATTTTATTTTATTTTTATTTTTTTATTTTTTTGGTTTTTCTCCGGTACCGGGAACTGAACTCACGACCTTGCGCTTGCCAGGCAGGTGCTTTTTGCCGCTGAGCTAAATCCCCAGCCCCAGCCCCATTTTAAAGACAAAGAATTGATCTCTAACTAGATTGATGGATTGCTTCATGGATACTTGGGTAATAAATATTACAAGAAAGAGGCCATGAAAAACATTTGGCAATCAATCACTAACTTAAATTGACAGAAGCAAAAAATATCTTGAAGGAAAAATCAGGATGAAGATGAGTCTTCAGATATGAGCTCAGGAAAAAAAGGGGAACTCTAGTCCTCCTGATTGGGGTTAACTACAATAAATTCTGGTCAGTGTCCTGAGTTGTACATTAAAGCCACTTGCTTGGGATTTGTAAGCAATGACCCATCTGAGAACCTGGAGAAGGAACTGCATGTGAGATCAAATGTCCTTGGTTCTAAGGATTTGGGAAGTTACAGGCAGAGAAGTTTGGGTAACTGCTTCCACTAAAATCTGATCCCATGTTTAGCCCAGAAGCCTAACAAAGAGAAGCAGTGAGATAGGAAGGGTGGCAAATGAGGTGAAGAAAACATCTTTCCCAGAAAATCAAGGCAAAGATTCAACAAAAATAGCTTTTCATCCCCACAGAATTCCCAGTGAAAGTAATAAAAGTTTGTTTCATTGGAGAGATTTCATATCTGCAGGGCAGTGCTGGATTCTGGGTATCTTATTTATTGAGAGAATTCACTGTAATGGTAAAAAAACAGAGTAAGGAATAAAAAGAAGAAAAATGCAAAAGGAAACTCTTGAGATATACCCTTGTGCATTCAAAACCTTTACTGAGGACCAACTACGTTCCCTGTATTGTGTGATCTACATGACCTGGAATAATTAGGACATGACTTGACTCTTGGTACTTTTCCGTGTAGATGTGCAGAACCATTCATTCAGTAGAAATGCGACACTACCCTATCACAAAGGGTAGGCTAGGATTTGCTTAGAGAATTTGAGGAGATGCAGGCTGAAGTCTGTATCAAAAAGAATACTTTTACTATTAGTTTTGCTAAAAATGGAAACAGCCTTTTGAAGATTGAGATGACTTACCCAGAATTGGAAAATCAGTTTACAGAAGTATTTCCTGAATTAGTTAGGAGATTAAACCAGGTAATTCTGTAGCTATCTTTTAACACTAAGACCTTGTAAGAACTTACTTTGTCATTAACTTGTACATAGCATTTACTCCAATGTTGTGCAATTGACAATGGTAAAAATCTGCCCAAATGGATTCAAAATAAGCAATATCAGAAAGACCTCAACTTCTCCTTAAAGGTAAAATACTTGAATTTTCTAGTGAAAAAAAAAAATATCAGTAGTATTTTTCATGCCAACAGGACAGACTTTCCTATCTCACGTTTCAGTACTTTGTGGAACTTTTCTCAGTCCAGTGATTTTTTTTTTATTTTAGATAACTAATTTTCATGTTCCTTGTGCCATCACGAGCATAGGTCAAATTTTAAAAAACAACCAAAACAAACATCTCAGGCTGGATATAAATTTTCTGAGTCACCATTAAGGAAAGCTCAGGGAAATGACACCGGGAAACTTGCAAAGGCATCAGATGATTCTGCTTCAGGAACCCTTGGATTCCAGGGTATCCTCACCCAACATGCTGTTGGAGGTATTGCCTCTTAAAGGCAGATTAAATTCATGTTTTGAAGATGTATATCTTCTACCCATCTTAACATGCTTTTATCACAACTTGTTACTCCAGATATATTATTTATTATTACGTCAACAACATAATGCTTTTCTCTTCCAAAGTTAGAGTTGATATTTGAAGTCAGACTGATTCTCTTTGCATCTCATCTCTGCCATTTCCCTCCATGAACTCAGATTTAGTTATTTGGCTCCTTTCTTCCTTATCCCTTCAAAGAGGATAAGTATGCGAGATAAATCCTGTAGTGTCATAAAATAATCAGTGGCCCTTGAATGTGTGTAACTTATGCCTAAAGCTTAACTACTCACACAGCAATTTCTTCTTTGACTGGTATAAGCAACCATGATGACAGTGCAGATGTGGCTATTGGGAAAGACCATCTAAAAGCAAATGTTTTGATGGAGCTGTATCTAAAAAATGAAAACGTGAAATGTTTTGTCTTTATTACACCATATAAACAAAATAGAATGTCCCTGGCCCTAAGCCTTCTTGACCCTTGGTCCCTCGTGCCAGCCCATCCCAGCATACTTTCCTCACCGATCCACAGAGACTGGGTTCAACTGACGGGTGAGACCAGGGTTGTAATACCAATATCTAAAAGCTCGTAGTTACACATTCCTGGTCAGAAAACCATGAGAGCAGCTGATCAGGGATGCTATAAGTCACCTGAACTACAACTTTGATATTGCAACTTTATTCCACTTTCCTCATTACAAAATTGCAATTGGCTTGCATTTTCTTTCAAAACCTCTGCACAAAAGCTGTGCTCCTTGGAATTTAGCCATTAGAGATGTCACTTTGGGTTTAGCTATTAAACTACTTTCACTTCCTCTATCAGAATTTCTTCCTTTCTAAAACAGCTAATAAAAATTGTGTCTCCACTTAGCTTGCGCTCCCTATGTGCCAGGTACCATATCAAAAGAGATTAAATAATCTCTACAAGATAGACTATTCAAAGCTGTTGTAAAGGAGGCAGAGAAGCTACGTAACTCAGGAAGATCATGCTGCTAATGAGCAGGCAGTGTGAGTTGTACCTTCTGCACTGCAAGCTTTCTGAAGCTTTCGGGATATTGGCCTTCACATCCCTAGATTCTCAGGACTATTCCAAGGCTTTTAAAAGGAAAATACTACTGTTTTCCATAAAATAACATTTATGGTTAAACCTTGGTCATGCATCTATTATAGTCTTAGAATTTCCGTTTAGACAGGATGAATTTTTTCAATCTGTGCCATTTCTCCTGGCGAAGTGGAACCCTGCAGGCATGGAGTATTGGAGCAGGTGTTATTCACTCCATAGCAACAGTCAAGATTACGAATTGAAATGAAAACAATGAACAGAAGGAAGACATTAAGAGTTAGAAAGCCTAGTACTTTTATGCCTAATGAGACATCTACGCCCAAAGAGCTAGTTACTTATTAAAGTTACCTTTCAACAGTTGTTTTCATAAGGTTATTTGTAGTGTCGCTCTCTGTGTTTTTATTTGTGAGGATGGAATTAATTCCAAATTGATAGCAGCATATTTCCTCACACAGTCTCAAATTCTTAATGTGTTTCTGTTGTCATGCTGAGACAGTGGAAGAGTGACAAAGACATCCGAGACAGTGTCATGAATGACCGTTTCCACAGGAAATTAAAGATTCACCTCTTCCCTACTGTCCCACGTCAACAAGTCATGTTCAGCTGCCCAAGTCATCATCCTCTCCGTCTCTTTCTGTGAATGTTACTTCCCTTACCACATCTATAAATGGCACTGTCATTCTTAATCTGTTTGGTTCAGCACTCCCCAAAAATAATCTGAGGGAAAGAAAGACCAGCCCCAGTCATAGACCAAACAAGAATAAAGCACAACTGCTGAGCTGATGGAAGCACGGCAAAGGTAGCTGTAAGCAGCATACACACAAAAGAATGAAATCAAGAGAGCACGCAAACACTTACAGGGTTGCATCTCATTGTAAACGCTACACAGCCTTACCTTAGTTGCAGCTAATGAAGTTCAAGTCCAAACCTAGTGTCCCTTTCATCCCATAAGAGCACAGAAGTGTAGACATCTCAGGGTTCTTTTCTTTTTGCCAGTTCAGTGCACTCCCTGAAGCTGTCAGCACCTACCACCATGGAGATGAGAAACCTCACAGCAGAATCTTACCCTTTGCCTTTCCGGACACATTCACCACAGACAATACTCTGCTGAATTCTCTGCTTCGCTCTAGTGAATGGACACTTTCTTTTACTGGTTCCCATGCCTACTCATAGTGGATAGTCTTGCCAATGGTGGCTGAAAGAAACGAGAATCAAAGCAAAATACCGTTTTCCTGACCTCATTTGTGTTTCTGTCATTCGGTCACACCTCTGTGATCTTCTTCAGTGGCTATAACCTCCCCAAATCACACCGAGGCCCCCAATCACCCCTTAATTTCATTAAGCAGGGAGGTTGGATCTTCTCTTACTAATGCTTCCAAGGTTTGTACAAGTTTATCCAAGTATGAACTTCTTAAAGGTCCATGCTCCATTATTTGTCGCAGTGAATACTTTTTTCTGTGCAAACACACACCCTGTCTGACTATGCAGTCCTCTATCTAAGATAAATAGCTTCTTGCTCAACATTATTTCATTTAAGTTCCAAAGAAATGTGTGATAACCTCAGTTGTGATCTTCAGAACAAGATTTAGCTCTTCTTTAAGGACTCAGGTTTGTGTGGCAGCTTGTTTGTTTGCTTTCTCCAAGTTTGGCAAAAGAGGGAATAAATTTCTTGTTCAGTGAGCACTTTACATCATTAGGAAGTCTTATACCATAGAATGAACTAGTCATGCAACTCTTGACATTTGTGGGAGACTGGGTGCTTTGTACTGAGATAATGGAATTGAATGAAGTTTAGAAGTAGTTAACCCAATAGTTTATTTTTATTGTGGTAAATTTGATACATTCTCTGACAACCAAATGAAGATAGTGGGTAGGAGATATATCCCTCTGGAATTCAGGGGAGACATCAAGAATGGAGGCGTGAGACGGGCGATATCAGTACATCCATGGTGTTAATACTGTGGGCATTGATGAGTCCACACAAGAAGTCAGAGTGGTTAGAAAAAAGAAGGGCTCCATATGTACACACAGCATAACTAGGATAATTATACTACTCATATCTGTTGGTTTATGGAAAGGAACTGTGTAATGTGTAATCATTTGATCAATCTTGCATGCCTATATCTGGTTATCTGTGCAACCATTTTGAAGATAACACTATGTAATATAACAACCATTGTTAATATCCTATCACCTTGCTTTGAAATTCTGTATCACTTTTATTGTTCACTATGCTGTATTGTTCATGTATTTGTTTTTGTTATTTTGGCTTTTTTTGTTATTTGCCATTTCTCTTTGAAAATGAAAAACAAAATTTGTATGCAGATATAAGGATAGATGGGATAGGTGTATTGCTGATAACACTATGTATTGTAGCAACCACTGTTAATTCTTATCATGTTGTTTTGAGGTCATGTATCATTTTTGTTTAGTTTTGATTTTGTCTTCATTGTTGTTTGTTAGATTTTTTAGCCTTTGAAATAAAAAAAAAGAAAAGAAAAAGGAAGTGTTCCAGCAACTATGGCCTGGGACAACTCAATTTGTGGTTGGGGAAATGAGAAGGATCAGGAACAGGAGATGAAGATGGAGAATTGCTTGAAGATAAAAAACAAAACAAAACATGAGATGTGACAGAAGAAGAAGAAAGTGTTAAAAAAAAAAGGAGTGATTGTTAATGTTATATCTTAGTGCTAGGTCAAAGTGAAAACTAAGAAGAATTGAAATCTAATTTGACAATAGTATCTCACTGGTGATCTTGAGGAAAAATGTCACAACACAATTTTGGTAACAAATGCCTAGCTGGATTAACAAAATTGGTAACAGTGTAAGAATAAATATAGACAACATGCATCAAACTTTCAGGGAGTTCTGCTGCCACATGGAAACGGTGAGGTACAAGAAAGGATCTGGGAATCCAGGGAAGGGATTGGGTTGTTTGTTTGTTTTTTCCAAAATTTTCTTTTTCTATTTTTGAGAGAAAAAATAACAAAATGACAACAATGAAGACAAATGCAAAACAACACAACAAGAAAAAAAAAATGAAACAGGACCTCAAAACAAAATGATAGGAATTAACAGTGGTTGCTACCCTACATATTGTTATCTTCAACAAAGTTGCTCAGTCCACCAGATGTAAGCATGCAAGATTGATCAAACAATCAAAGACAATAACAAGTAATAAAAAGAAAACATTAGAAACATTACAGAGTTTCACCATACAAGATGGTAGGAATTCAACAATGGCTGCTATATTGTACACCGTTGTCTTCAAATCAGTCATTCTGATTACCAGATACAAGCAAGCAAAATTGCCCAAGAAAAAATAATTTCAAGCATTAGTTGTTCCTTTTAATAAATGAGCAGACATCAGCAATAACCTATCCCAGCTATCCTTGTGTATACATATGCATTTTTTCTTTTGTTTGTTTGATTTAATGTGAGAGATATTATAACTCTGTCACATAAAATGTTGCCACATTTTAAAAATTAAGTAGATGTGTTGCAATTATGTCTCTGAGTTATGTCTATTAAAATGATTACTTTTGGTAAATATGAAAAAGGCATCATTTTTAATATCATGGTTCCATCACAAAACTCTGGGGAGGGGAGGGAATGCTACTACAGAAGCAGCCACTGATTCTCTTTGTGCATGTGATGGTAGTGAACACTGATTTCAAATAATTGTGTAAAAAAAAGTAATTCAATCATTTCTTTCTGCTTCTATCTTTTTTCCTTTACTATGCAAAAGACTTTGTCTAGTTTCTCCATAAACAGACTGTTTGCTTTTATAATGTATAAAACAACCTAAACTACAGAAAACATAAATCCTACGACTTCTCAGCAAGCGTGAATTAAAATAATCCTACCATGAATCCAAATCTTAATTGTGAACTATTCTTAAACTATTTGCTCTTCTAGAATATTGCCAGATATATACAGTTGATACTTGGTATCCATCTCTTGAGAAAAATGTGTAGGAAATAATAGAGCACTAAAGAGGTCTTTGATTATAATCATATACCTTCAGAAATATATTGATATTAGGACTAGATTATAGATTTAAATCCTTTGTAAACCACAAGAGAAGTTGGAATATATATATTTAATGAATAATAGGTATTTTTATTTATCATATTTATATATAGTATTTCTATAAGCTTTTCTTTTTTTTTTTTTTTTTTTTTTTTTTTTTTTTTTTTTTTGGTTTTTTTTTTGGTTTTTCTCTGGTACCGGGAACCGAACTCACAACCTTGCGCTTGCCAGGCAGGCGCTTTGCCGCTGAGCTAAATCCCCAGCCCCTCTATAAGCTTTTCTTTTCTTTGTTTTTTGAGAAGGAGTCTCACTACACTTTCTTGGCCAACCTTGAGAAAAAAGCAATTCTTCTGTCTCAGATGCCTCTTCTTGATTGTTAGAATTGTAGGTATGCACTGCCACTTTTCTAGATAGCTTTTCTAGCATTACTGACAAGGTACCTACATTACCCTTAGCAGAGTAATTTCATTTTATTTTATTTTATTATTTTTTTTTTTTTTTGGTTTTTTTTTTGGTTTTTCTCCAGTACCGGGAACCGAACTCAGGACCTTGCACTTGCCAGGCAGCCGCTTTGCCGCTGAGCTAAATCCCCAGCCCCAGCAGAGTAATTTTAAAGGCACAGAATATTTCAGGCATGAGTTTCTTAACTTTCATGTTTTGCACCAGACTTTTTTCTGTCAGGTGAAGATGTTTTGTGCTTATAAGATGTTTATTAGTATCCCTAAACCCATCCCACTGGATCCCAGTATAACCCAAGTTCTCCTGTTTTGACAGCCAGAAACATGATGAAACATATCCAAAGTCTTCTGAGAAGTAAAATTATCCTAGGTTGGGAAGTATCATTGTAGACTCAAAGAACCAGATCAGTGAATTCAATTTTTGGAGAGTGTAATGTGTAAGAGAATATGGATCCACAAAATGTATAAATGTCATTTCTTTCATAAAATGCAATAAAATATATTCCTTAAGGAACATATATGTGTAAAATGTGCACCAAAGAAAACAACAATTATGTTATTGACTTTACTAGAGTTCTGTGGCAAATCTTATGAGAATGTACGTTAAGTAGAATCTAGATTTTAAAGTAAACAAGTAGAATAGAAGCACATTTCCATAGAGGGAGTAAAGCAAGCACTAGGTTTTTGTGGCTCACTTTAAAATTGTTATGTGACAACTTTTGGTTCTATTTTCTTTCTTTTGGTCTTTTTGAGAAGGGTCTTGCTTGCAGTTCAGGCTGGCCTTGAACTCATTTTATAGCCCAGGCTGGTCTCGAACTTGCAACAATCCTCTTGCCTCAGCCTCGAAAAGTGCTGTAATTCCAGCACTAGGGAGGCTGAGGCAGGAGGATTATTTTTGGGAGTTTGAGGCCAGCCTGGACCGCATAATGAGTTCAAGGTCAGCCTGAGCTACATAGCAAGAACTACATACCCTGTCTTAACAAACAAACAAAAATCCACTATAAACCAGGCATAGTGGTGCATGCCACCAATCCCCATACTCTGGAGGTTGGAAGATCACCAAAAGTTCAAGACCAGCCTGGGTTACTTAGTGAGCTCAATACTAGCTTGAACGAGGGAGAACCTTGTTCAAAACAAACAAACAAACAAAAAACCCAAAAAACAAAAACAGTTAAATTGTTCTGTCTCAGCCTCACCCCCTGTGCTGTCAGCTAGACCTACAGTAGCATACTCCACAAATGCCATTCATTCTTGAGATTTGCTGGCTTCCTGTTATTCTATCTGCCTGACCACCATAGGATATGGAGGAAGTGTTTGAAGTCTGCACTAGTAAACAGCGTGTTCCCCCTGAAAGTTTCTCGCGCTACTTAGATTTTTAAAGTTACTTGAAACTTCCTGAGGTTGTCCCCTCTCAGCAAAACTGTGCTCAGGTGAAGTAGATTATCCTAATACATATCAAAATCTGAAATCTGGAGAGAGTTGATTAACATTTACTTTCTCCAAAATTAGATTTAATAGTGAAGGAGCGTAAAAGAATTTCTGTTTAGATTTCTTTTTTCTGAATTTGAGTGAATCATTTCTCTTTTGGTGACTCTTTCCTTCTCCTCCCCACCATACACATTAGCAAGTGAACACCCTCTGGGAATTGACAAGATGACGGAGTTGAGTAACCGTGTGAGAAGACTCAGCTCATAGCAGACATCATCAGAAATATAAGCAGAATACATTTTTAGAGTCCCTTTAGAATACCCTCTCAGAGTGACTCAATCTCTGTTTGATCGTTTTCATGGATCATTTCCCTGTGTATTCTGCTCCTGTCCTATGATGACTCCACATTACCGAAGAGGAAGTCCTTCCTAAACTCAGATAAAAATGTGTCTCCCTGTGGGCTTCCTAAGACTTTCCTGTCCTGATACTGTCCCCAGAAGGTCTGCAAAACAA